AATTTCAAGGAGATTAGGTCAGAGACCTTCTTGGTCTCAGGCCTGAGACCCTTCATTTGTTTTTCTGTGTGCGGTTCTCATAGTCTCTAGATAAAGCCCCTCAAGAAACACTCCTCACTTTTCAGTTCTGTTTCTGGTACCTGAATAAGCTGGGGGCCTTTGAGAGTGGCACAGTCACTTGGGACCTGTCACTGTTGAGGTGGTTACCAGGTTTGGATGGGGGTGATGGCGAAGCAGGAGTGAGACTGTGGGTTTGGTGTTCTGCAGTTGGCAAGATCCTACTCCTTTTTTCCCTGCAATTTTAATTTGAAATTTTATGTTAATTATAACAGCAGAGGTAGTGTAAAGTCACTAATTCTACCATTCAAAAATAATTGTAAGTGCCTCTCTCGTGGTACAGCTGGTTAAGGCTCAGCGCTATGAAGCTGTTCGCAGTCACTGCAGCATGAATTTGATCCCGGCCCAGGGAGTGACCCCAGGGCGCAGCAGACTCCTCCTGTCTCCCCGCTGTTCCCCTCAGTAGTGTTTGTCAGTCAGTAGGCCTGTTATGTGCCTCACTCTGTCTATGGTGAATCCTCTCACCCCACCCCCCAAAAAAAACCCCTCTGACCTACATCCCAGTTCTTGTCTGCATAAATATTCTAAAAAAATTGGGTGTCATGATACAACAACATGGAATAAAAGTGAATGTAATTTTCACTGACTTAAAAGATTATTTACAGAGATCAGATTGTCTTTCTTGAGAATGTTGATAGTCTACTGACATTTGTATGTCTCTTTAGACTTCAGACTGTGTAAATAGAAAGCTTTCTTTGGTGATGTATGTCTTTTCAGAAAAGACGATTTTATTTGGTGGTTTGGAATTTCCCCCCCTAGTTCTTCAAATTACGGTTGGGTCGATGTAATTAACTTTCCTTTCATCACGTCTCAGCCTTGGAGGATCACATGTCCTTGCTGGTGGTGGTAGAGTGGTTAGATTGGTTGGAGGTGGGAGATCTGTGAGGATCGCCCTCAGACAAGGAATGCATCTCTTCTGCATTGTGTCCTGGTGGGCCTCGCCAGTGTTTTGTTCACATTGAAGAATATCAAGAGTGAAAAAGTAGGTATTCAAAGTCATGGTAAATAGTCCCCACACGACTGCAGATCTTACTGAGCGATAGGCTTCAAAACAGTGGCCCAGCGTGGAAGTGCTCAGAGTTGCTGTCCCCCTCTTTCCAGTCTGTGCTAGTTGGGGAGGCCTTTCAGAGCTCTCACTCATCTGCTCTAGTCTACTTTTTAACACCGAGGGCAATCTGTTTGATGAGGACAGGGATCAAATACAGTGCCTTTTTAGCATATAACAGGCCTCTGGTGGAAATTTCCCATTAACTTAAGAGTTTTAAATTCAGGCATAATTTTGAACACATTTATCTGCTGCCTATCTACAAACATTTGCATTCATTTGAAAAAAGTCAATAAGGAGATTTTTTTTTTTTCCCAGTTCTCTAAGTTGAAAAACACACCCTTTGTTCTGCTGGATCGTTATTTAGAAAATAATAGATGAGTATTTCTTCTCCATTTAAAGGACAGAAAAATTTCAAAACATAAAACCAAATGCTTGAGGAGGAAACCAAAACTCCTTTTAAAAAACCTTGATGGGGCCCTCCCTGGTGGCGCAGCGGGTTAAAGCACAGCACTGAGAATCTGAAGCCACTTCCGCATGAGTTCGATTCCCGCCTGCCGCCTGCCCCGGAGGAGACCACATGGCGAGCCAGACCTCTCCTGACCCGCCCGCTGCTCCCCTCAGCAGTGTACTTCGTCAATCTGCCTGTTCTGCTCCCCACTCTGTCTCTGGTGAAGCCTCTCACCGTCCCTGAGCCTCTGGCCTGTACCCCAGTTCTGTATGAATAAATAAATAAATCTTTAAAAAAAAAAAAAAAAAAAAACCTTGATGGAAAATATTCCTCTTGGGGAAATTTATGCAGACCGAATATTTTACTTCCACTACATGAATTAAAAAAAATTTTTCTTTTGAAACTTACAGTTGTTTCTAATCGATTGATGACCTCAAATTAAACTTTCCATGATCTGTTTTCTTTTTACTACTGACATACATGGAAGAGGAATTGGTACTTTTCAAGAACAAATATTTGAAGTGTAAAGGCATCCAGTCATTGGGCAATGCCAGGTCAGCCTTCGAAGAGTCTCTGGTTCTTGAATACTGTTGGCTTTGTTATTGAGCCTAAGAAATCACATCAGGCCTTCAGAGCAACAGTAAACAGCAAAAGCGAAACTGAGTTGCAGCGGCATTTTGACCTGCCCTGAGGATTCACTGCTGTCTCCCTGGACTAAGGCAGCAGAGAATTTGGTTTTCAAACGGCTTGGCTTGGCTCAGCATTTTTGCGGTTACTGGATGGTGGGTTTATTGAGATGCTAATATGCCCTTCTAGGCCAAGTCATGTTTATTTCTGAGAAATGAAAGGAACTAACCAGCTGGGTCACACAAGTCTTGCTTTTCTTTATAAAGTCCATAGGCAGTCTTGACTGCTGTTGATGTGTAATTGATTTGAATGTTTACTTGAACAACATGAATCATCTGCTGAAATGTTAGGCACTGAGCTGGATTCTCAGTGAGGACTTGACTGTTTGGGCTCTGTTTTTCTTTTTGATGTATGTTATACGATGCAGAATTATAGAAATTCTGGACACGTAAATATACACAATGTATGTGTTGGTATAGCTTTTTAATTTCTTTCCCTGTTCAGCCTTCAGTTGCCATATTATTGGCAGAGTGGAACAGATTTAACTTGGGTTTAGTTAGACTTGTACCTCAAAAACAATGATGTAACAACTGAAAGTTATTAAATAATTTGTCATGCAGGCATTTTTATGAGTCAATTAGCATTTAACCCAAAACAGTGTGATGGGGGGATAAAGGAAAAAAACGTAAGGCTAAGTTTCTGCCTTCCAGAACCTTGTGGTCTGGGGGAGGGGAGTGTTTTAGTCCTAATATATAATCTCTGAAGCCCTCTGACTGAGACTGCTTGGGGAGGTTGCCCCTGGAGTCAGAATTTGCATCAAGGACCCGAATAGTTCAGATTAAAGGGGATTCGCCTGGCCAAGTGCTTGGGAAAGACAGTGGTAGCAGGGAGACTTCAAGGGCTTCTTTCAGGCGAGGCAGTGAGGGAAAGGAACACACAGAAAGATTGGGGGTTTGACTTTAAGCCTGGCTAATGCTTTGTCTGGAAAGAATTAAGGATTCAGTTTTTTATAGGAAAAAACACAGTCACAATTACAGCAACACAACAGCAATATTGGTAGTGATGGGAGCGGATGCTGATCAATAAATCCCATGGGCAGATATCTTTACCTTTCAAAACACAGAATTTTGTTTTTTTTTAAAGATTTTTTTATTTATGCATACAGAACTGGGGTACAGGCCAGAGGTGCAGAGGGTGAGAGGCTTCACCAGAGACAGAGTGGGGAGCAGAACAGGCAGATCGATGAAGTACACTGCTGAGGGGA